CTGAAACTACAGTCTAAATATTCTATTTACCAGTGAATTAACGCAGTTTAGTTCTAGTCAGGAAAAATAAGTGGTATACGAAGATACAGTAGATTTAAATCAACTATTTAAATAGCCACTATAAATAGCAAACCTCAGGTTCACAAATATTTTTAGGGCTTGAATGTTTTTATAGGGGCTCAGTTAAAAAAAATAGATTAATATGAACTGATGAAGGAAAGATGTCTGATGTGTGACTATGCATTGGGTTTTTAAAATTTTAAACACAGAAGATACCAGCAGTTTTAATTAGTAGATAAATAAGCCATATAAAATAAATACATTACTCTTTGACAGATTTAGTGCACATAGAAAGCAACTGCAATATGTATTTATTCCAATTAAATTGGTACTGAAAAATAAGAAATAATAACAGAATTTATGCTTTAGTCATGAGGTCCTAGACTTACTTTCCTAGGATCTGCAAAAAGATTCCCCCCCCAAAAAATCTGTATCCATTTAGGCCACATTAATGTTAATGCCTTCTTGTTTCCTGACAACATAAAAAGGTAAAGGTTCCCCTTGACAATTTTTTGGTCCAGTCGTGTCTGACCCTAGGGGTGGTCCTCATCCCCATTTCCAAGCCACAGAGCCAGCGTTTTTGTCTGAAGACAATCTTCCGTGGTCACATGGCCAGTGCAATTTAGACATGGAATGCTGTTACCTTCCCACCAAAGTGGTCCCTATTTATCTACTTGCATTTGCATGCTTTCGAACCGCTAGGTTGGTGGGAGACCGCTAGGTTGGCGGGAGTCCTGACAACATACCTGCCCACTATCTTGACAAAATAAACCTTCTCAACGCATTGAACTCAGCAGCACTTTCCTATGTATTGATGGTTCTTTAAGAATTCATCCAACTTTGAAGATGATGATGATAACAACAACATGCCATCAAGTCAATTCCAACTTATGACAACCCTTCCAGAGTTTTACAGGCATAGGACGCTCATAAACGGTTTACTGTTCCCTTTTTCTGGGGCATGCTCTGGGACTGTGCCACTCACCCAAGGCTGGCTGTCCTTCTGAGAGGCAGAGAGAGAAATTGTACATTCAGCCTCAGGCTCTGCAGCCAGGTACTGAACTCACTTGAGCTCTCCAGCCACTTTGAAGACTAGGTCCTACATTTTATTAAGGAATGACCTTGAAAATTAGTTAAATATACAAGATTTTTCAAAATTAAATTGAAATTTTAGTAAGAGAAGTTGCATTATTGTTATGGATCTTTTGAAAAAAACACACACCATCTATTCTGAAATAATAATCATACACTTGCAGCAATCTATTGTTGCAATTATTAGGTAAGGTCCTGGTTTACAGCGGTTCCCTTGTTTTGTTTGATTAGCAGGAGACCTCCAAAAACACAGAATTCCTATATATGTATGGATCATATCCTCTCTTAAAAACAAAAAGTCCTGAGTAGTTCATTATATCCATTAAATGTTTTATTGGTCCAAAATGCATGTATTTTAAGTTTATACTAAATATGTGCTTTGTGTCTATTAAAAATGTTTTGGATTTAATTTATAATGATGCTTTTAAAATGCTGAATAGCAAAACTTTAAGTGGACTCACATTTTAGATCAGTAATATGTACATATTTGCTATGTGTCAATTAATGCATTTATTTTCAGAGGCATTACACCAACAAGTACACAACAACTATCTGCTATATAACAGCAAAATACACAATAGGATTACAAGAGAATGGTACAGTTCATGCTCTCCATCTGTAGGAAAAATGACGGGACAGACAGAAGGTGGTAAAACAGCCTTACCATCATCGAGTGAAGAAGAGTTACCCATGGTAAAGGGATGTAAATGGGGAAAGCTTGAAGAAATGTGAGTGGAAAGGAAAAGAAAGGCACCACTGGAAATGTAGAAAAAGAAGAGAAAAGAAAAAAAAAGGTGTGAGGAGTAAAAAGAATAGATTCCTACAGACACACTTAACAATAAGACTAATCACCTTTTTTTTAAAGAAGGATGTGCCAGCCACAGATAAAGCTAGAAAAATACCTTATGTGCTTAATTCAAATTAAACAAATGAATAAACAGTATACATACAATCCAGTCCAGCCACCATTCACAGACTAGGTAATCCTATTCCATTAGATATAAATATCCTAAGCCTTTATGCCAAGAAAATTACATCAGGCAACAACGTGCTCTGGGGAGCCATGTTCACACACAAATGATGACAATCTATTTCTGTCTGACATGATGTTAAACATAACTCTTCTGTGTCTAACCTGATTCCAAATGTTTGGCTAGGGTACTAGACAGTGGTACTCCCTCTCCTCCCATCTCTAAAAGCACACTATCACTATGTAATGTGATTTTAGTTTTATTTAACAAAACCACCTTCCCAACAATCAGCTATCATGAAACAAACCATGATCAAATTATGCTCTTTGTAACCTATGAGCACGATAGGCTCATCACCTTTTAGATGGCCTAGACAAAAGTTAGAATTTTTTTTACCTCATACATATTTCACTTTAATTCTATATGCTGTCAGTCCATTTGTATAAATGTGAGTACTCTTCTGTCCTTGACAATATTATAGAAGCAATAACAAATAATTTAATAAATTCACCATGCTTTTTCTCCTGCCCCAATTTATTAAGAAACTTTAAAAAAGCATTCCTAAACTACTGTGAACTGCCAGAGTCGTGTAGCGGACAGAGTGGCAGAATAGGATTCAGGGCACCTGGGTTCAACACTCCGCTTGAGCATGGAAACTTTTGGAGGAAGGGAAAGTAAACCATTTACTGAACATTTCAAACATGTTGGAAGTCCTATTAGGGTTGCCATAGGTCGGACATAACTTAGCAGCACATATCAAAGCAATCTATTGTGCCTCATCTGCTGCTGAGTTTCCATGGGGAGGAAAGCCCCACCAGTGTAATAATGTGGGATTGCAATACTTGTGCTGTTGACAACTGGACAGCAGGTCTTTGTGGAGATCATTGCTTATGCCATGACAGTGATTGGGCAAGTGGTGTGAATCTTGCATTACTACAGAATGATCTTGCTGGTGGGACTTTTTCTGTTCAGTGGAAGCTCAGTAGGATACCAGCCACATTTTCTAGTATGATAGACAACATGCATAATGCTTTCATTTTTCAGTGGTGACTAAATTCTGATTCTCTAGATATGGCTGCAAAACTTTAAAAAACACAAGACCACGAATAGTATGATAGACAACATGCATAATGCTTTCCTTTTTCAGTGGTGACTAAATTCTGATTTTCTACATATGGCTGCAAAAACACAAGACCACGAATATGTCAGTGCTTGATAATGTAGTGTTAATATTCATTTAAATGAATGCTTGATAATGTAGTGTTAATATTCATTTGAAATAACTACAGTTATTGGTAGTCCTGTTTTGCTATGATAAACAATATATCACCATAAATCTTCATTTTTGCCTACAAAAATGTTGCAGTCCCATACCTTGATTCAAATAGTTCAGTCCACCCAAATGAAAATAATTGTGAACAGCCATAAGGTTGAATGTTAATTGTATGTTCTTAGTCTTTTCTGTCGGTTATTATATACATGAAAATGATCTCCTATTCCAAACTACCAACAATGGTTCATGTTATAGGATTCATTCTTACTACAGTATTGAAATTATTATTATAATAATTGCAGACCTGCAGCAACTCCACTAACAAAATGTACTACTATATTGTGTTCTCACACTGTATCTACAACTTGCGGAATATAAAATTATAGCCATATTCCATAATAATAAAAGGCTTAGACAAACAGATGGTTTTCTGCATCTTGCTAGCAATTATTGCTACCCAAAACATGAAATGATGAGCTCTATAATTATTACTGTTATTAAGCACTATTATCTATAAAAACATGTGAAATATCCAGGCTCTGTACAAACAACTAAACAAATAAATACATTAAATAGAAGCATTTAAATGTTCATGCAACTTATTATCTTTTCAGTGAAATGTTTGTCCAAAAAGCACTTTATGCAATGAAGAATCATCTTGCTAGCACAGATCCACTTTAAAATGAAAACACACACACACACCAAAAAGGTGAGAACAAAAATATAAGTCATCAGCACACTGGTAAAGCTCATTCTAAGCATGGATGCAAAGGGACTTACTTCCTAGTGAATAGGAAGCTTAATTGCATAAAATTTGTTTTTTGTTTTTGTTATTAGCATAATAAGTTGCAAATAAATGCAAAACTGTCATGTCTGGACTAAAGAACGATTAATTACCATAGCACAATGTTTTATCAACATGTGTGCTAACAAGAAACAATAACATAAAAATAACAGCGCGTGCTACCAATGAAATGTTGTAATGCTTACAATTTAGGATACAAAGACTGCCTCTTACAAAAAATATGTCGGCTGCAACACAGTTGTTACTCAGCTGAGTGACTGAAGCAGATGACATTGGAATATTTCCATCTGAAAGTGACCCTAGGTTTGTTTACACATATGTAACTGCAGTGAGAACAGCCTCACTTTCCAGCAGATCTCCACTATCCCATCAATTGAGAATACATATTTTATGAACTACAAATTTGTCAAAAGAGGGGATATTAACATTTATCTTTACTTTTGCCAAAGTGGAATGAACAGTGAAATGTCAAGTGCTTCAAAGAGTCTGATCATTTTTTAAAAGCTACCACAGACATCTGAAATTCCTTCTGAAAGAGAAGCAACTATTTCAGGTAACTGAAAACGAATCTCTGGCTTTTAAAATCCCAAATAACTAAATGGTTTATGCAACTGAGCAAGTGGTCACAAACATTAAAAATTTTTTTTGCAAACTCTATTGGACAGGAATGTTAAAAAAATTATAATCTGCAGTGAAAGTATCTGCTGGTTAAAAATATTAAAGCACTGTACAGCTGTATTAATAGCAAAAAGTTAATGCGTCTTTAAGATGTAGGTCAGATATAAACAGCACAACTTACCAATGTCATTGCTTCTCTCCGTGGAATCCTTTTCTAAGGTGCTGGAAAATGTACAGCTCACTAGATCGCCTTTTGGGATATCATTCCTGCAGTTAGAAACAAAAGAGACATTTACTGGAATTGCCTGCTAAAGTAAATTTCTAGCTTGTCTCTTACAAACTGGAGGGGGAAAAAGCATTCCACATGCGCAGCGCTGGGGTCACTGCAAGCTGTCAGAGGGAGCCATCTCCTGTAAACCAACATGCTGCTTGGATTAACCTTATCTTGTTTCTCTTTAGCACCTGTCAAAAGCGCCTATTTTAGATACACTAGTGTCCTAAACAATTTCTCAAATGTTAACTGCATCTTGAGATGAAGAAAATCAGAAAATATACTTTCTGAAGACCAACTTAAAAAATAATAAAATTTCCTCCTAAATAATATTGAAATCAAAGGCTGAATATGTAAGAGATCCATTAACCGAGGAGGGTTTGAAGTGCCAAGCTGTGATAATGGGTTTTTAGTTCTTCCCCAGTTCTGCAGCATCTTCAGTATGATTGGTTTCCTCATAATTACTGATGTCTTTGTGCTGACAATTTCAGATGAGGGTTGTTTGCTTTTCTATGACTGGATAAACAGAAAAAGGAATCATAGTATGGCATATTTACATTATGAAGTGTTATTTTTCAGCTACAGTTAGTGCACATTCAGAGACCATTAATCTATTTCTACAAATAAGCCTGTTTCTTTCCTCCCTGTATATTTAGCTGTTTTTTTTTTTTTACTCTAAAACGAAATAAAATGGGGCTGGTGTCATCCTTCTCTAAAACTGAGCCACTCTGGTTTCTAACCTTAATACAAATCTACTTCTGTAAATACAGATGATCTGCAATTCTGCTCCAGCTGGAGATGCAGAAGGGATAGCTCCACCAGGACACCATGTGCATTGGTTTGTTTTTTGTTTGTTTGTTTGTGTGTTTTGCAGAGATGTGGATGTTATTTTTTTGTGGCGAGAAAAGAGCATCAGCCTGGTGTCCTCCAGGTATTTTAGATGCAGATCCAACCTAGGGCTGAACTCCCCTCAGTCCTGGGCAGCACTGCTAAATGTCAAGAATTCTACAGACTACAGTCCAAAACATCTGATGGAAACCTGGCTAGGAACAGCTACATGAAGGGTGCTTTCGGTCTCCTTTTTTTAACAATCACATTCAAAGCCAGTTCTAGACAAGCTGTTCTGCTTTACCATTTAGGGATGATGCTTTCCAGCAAAGAGAGTCCTCAGATACCCAATCCTTCAATACTTATCACAGTTTTGGGGCCAGTTTAATTGCACGCTGCCTAACACACACAAGGGCAAGCACAGTTCTCTCTCTTTCTCATTACAAATCCACAGTGAGTTCCTGACGCTGACTTCCTGAGAGCTACAGCCCTGGCACTTCTTAAACCATATTTTCCTACATTTGATTTGCTCTTATGATTTAAAATCAGTATACATAGTGAAAATGCTGGACAGAATGGAACTTGTAGATTACATCGAAGTACGGATAACAGTGGTTTCCCAAAACAGATTAACAACCATTGAATGGAATACTACTGATGTTTGCACATCGTTTACATAACTTTCTGTGGCTAACTGCAGCTAAGGGCCTGATCACACCAGCCAAATATACTCCAGTTACACCCCGGTTAGATTGTTGCATAAATATCCGGTCACATGATGCACGGACATGATTTAATCATTTTTCCAGCCAGCGGTGTATCTGTGGTTTATTTCTCCCTCACCAGGAGGCCTGTTTTATTTTGTACCTATGTTGAAACAATGCATTCCTTACTAGTACTGCTTGTGTGCATGTCCCTATCAATTCTTTCCCCATGCAGCAGCAGCAGGATGCCCGGAGTCGGAGGCATCTTCATCACCTGGAGCGACAGCGGTGGAAACGGAGTCTTAAAGCCCGCTCTCTCACTCTCTCTCCTCAACCCCTGCCCACAACCCCTGCCTCTTCCCTTCTTTGAAGAGCAAAGTGGAATGCTGGCATGGCTTGCCTGCCTGCCTCCTAACCTTGTGGCAGCAACAGCAGCCATGGCCACTGCAGCTGCACCACCACTCTGCTTCTGTCACCCTTTCCTGGCACCAAAGTCAGTCTGCATGTGCTCTCTCATTTCTGTTTTTTTTCCTCACTAGCAGAGACTGGTGGGAAGAAGCAGCTGTAGTCACGCTGGAGCTCCATGGACAGGCCTGTCAAGAAAGGCTACAGAGGGGTGGGGGCTGAGATACCACCGCTTCATTCACCCTCCTGGCTTCTGTGGTGGCAAAAGACCTAAAGGAGGGAACCACTCCTCAAGTCATGTGCATCTCTCCCCCCCCCAGGGCACACACACACTCCGCCAAGCACCCCAATTAAGTTCCTGACCTCTCCATTAAGGGAAGACACTGTGAGTGGACTTTGACAAGGCAGTGGGGGCCAAGAGAGAGAATATGAAAGGCAATATTGCAACTGGGGCACATTTGGCTGGTGTGCTCAGATCCTAATTGATGAAATACCAGAGAGTACTTCAGTTGTACAATAAGCTGTGTGAACAGGCATGCAACAAAGACGCGCCATTTGCTAGATCTCCTTTTGCTTGCCCATAAGTGCTGCATTGACTGAATTTCTCCACAGTCACAGAAAATTTGTTCTGTATCCAAGAAGCACCATTTTACTTGGTAGCTCTTAATGTCTTTTGGTGTAAGTCAATCAGCATGAATCTCAGTGACAAACTGCTGCTAGTTAAGAAGTTGGCACAGGTATTTGATGTTAACATCAGTCGTATGACTTAGCCCACAACAGCAAATACCTACATTAAGTTCCTAACTAATGGCAGTTTGCTGCTGAAATTTATGCTGATGGATTTTACACTGGCATATTTCTTCAACTGGATTCTGGGCAATAGAATTTACCCCTAGGGAGAAACATCTGGTACTGCACACATAACCATACACAAATTTTTACATATTTTATCAGTCCATACTCTTTTTAATGGACAGATCAATTCAGTACCTTGTATGGGTCATAGGCACAATTGGTCTTTCTGGTCTTCTGGGAGGCAATGTACCAGGTCTATTCAAAGAGTTTGTTTTGGGTGGTCGAGGTTTCTTCGGTGGTATAGCAGGAACAGAAGGTTTCTGTAGATCTAACAGTTTTTGCTCTCTCTCTGGTCTTTCTTCAAATCAATTTTCCCCAAAAAGAATAAATATATTTTTAAAACAGAATTATCTTGTACACAATAGCTGCCATTCTTGACAAAACTTGACAGAAACACAATCTGCATCATCATTTAGGTCCACAATGCAATAAATGCTTCACAATCCTTGTTCTCTATCACTGGAAACCTAAAGGTGGCTATATTAATTTTATTGTAGTAGTATTTTTGTTGTTAGCCGCCTAGAGTGGTCCTGACCCGACCAGATAGGCGGGATATAAATAAAATAATAATAATAATGAATCTGAGGGGAGGGGATGACAGCACGCTTATCTCTCTGAATTATATCATTCAATAGAACACAAAAGATGGACTTTCCTTTTCTGATCAAAAAACCATCTAGAACCCATTAGAGCAGGAATGGGCAATCTCGCGGGTCTTAGGGCCCCCAGCCTGACTCCCCCAGAATGCACTGAAAATATCCTGTTTTGACCATATATAACCTATACATACTCTCAGTCTCCTGAAATGAAATTGGCTATTTCTGGTGGCTTCCAGGAAAATAAACAGGTGATTTGGGGCAAAAAGAAAGGAAAAGGAGGGGGGGGAATCAAGAAAGAAAATATATTTTGTATTGGGTCCCCGTGAAAGAACTGTGTGGTGCCCACCCCTGCAGGATCTTTCTACTGCCCTTTCTGTTGTTTCTGAAATTGAATCCATTTACCTTTCTCTTCTGTTCGATGAGGAAGACATTCTGGTCTTTCAGGAGGTATCTTTTTGACTTCATGCTTTCTGTCTGTGGTAGCTGCAGAAAAAAGGAGGGTGGGAAGAAGGGAAATAATTAGAGAACTTGAAAGGACTGAAATCTAATGACTTGTTTCAAAATATCTATTTGCAGTGCAAAATGAATCGCAAGGATGCGCGAAGGTCTCGGTGTGCTCTGGCTTCCTTGAACATGTCCTATTGTTTCTACCAAGGAATACTGTGACTAAAGTGAGACAGTTCATAAAGAACATAATACTCTAAACTGCATGTATTCTTTTCTGAGAAAGTAGTTAAATCATTCTTTACCTCTCCATGGGTATCATAAAGGTTCACATATTTACTGTAGTATAACCTATGGTAAACCAATTTTTACTTTGTCAAATATAAGATACATCTAATCAAGTGAGCTACAGAGTATGAAAGTGTACATCACAGTAAATATTTTGCTAAGTCAATACTTTCATAAATCCTGGTGATGCAATGGATATAGTCCATTTAAGACCAATAATGCATTTAACTTCTATCAATACTAAATTACAGCACTTTAATGTTTGCTACTGAAGAGTAACCTCTATGCTCACTTTTGCCCACCTGGTACACCTCTTTTATCAATGCTGAGTTCATTTCCCAGAGTGCTGACAGCTTTAGAGCCAAAACAGGACCCCACACGATGTAAAAGGAACAGGGGAACATAAAATTTGGAACTCAAAGGTGAAAATCTTGTTGCTTAGAGTATTAAAGCACACTATGGCAGGGGCCACTGAATCAATGGAAATTTAGTGAGTCAACTTCTCTGTAAATTCCAGTGATTCAAATAGGCTCTCCCTAGTTGCAACTGCCTATGCTGAAGTGGGGAGGAATTAAAGAACTTCCTAATGAGGGTGAAAGAGAAGAGTGTAAAAAACAGTCTGAAGCTCAGCATCAAAAAAAAACAAGATCATGGCCACTGGTCCCATCACCTCCTGGCAAATAGAAGGGGAAGAGATGAAGGTGGTGACAGATTTTACCTTCTTGGGCTCCATGATCACTGCAGAGGGTGACAGCAGCCATGAAATTAAAAGATCCCTGCTTCTTGGGAGGAGAGTGATGACAACCCTAGACAGCATCTTAAAAAGCAGAGACATCACCTTGCCAACAAAAGTCCGCATAGGCAAAGCTATGGTTTTTCCTGTAGTGATGTATGGAAGTGAGAGCTGGACCATAAAGAAAGATGACCGCCGAAGAATTGATGTTTTTGAATTGTGGGGCTGGAGGAGGCTCTTGAGAGTCTCCTGGACTGCAAGGAGAACAAACCTATTCATTTTGAAGGAAATCGACCCTGAGTGCTCACTGGAAGGACAGATCCTGAAGCTGAGGCTCCAATACTTTGGCCATCTCATGAGAAGAGAAGACTACCTGGAAAAGACGCTGATGTTGGGAAAGTGTGAAGGCAAGAGAAGAAGAGGACGACAGAGGAAGAGATGGTTGGACAGTGTCATCGAAGCTACTAACATGAATTTGACCCAACTCCGGGAGGCAGTTGGGTCAAATTGGGCCTGGCATGCTCTGGTCAGTTGGGCCTGGCGTGCTCTGGTCCATGGGGTCACAAAGAGTTGGACATGACTAAACAACAACATTGCTGAAGTAAGTCACAGTTAGAATAGGCCCATTTGAATTAATAGAACATATGGAGGAACTGACTCACTAAATCCTTATTGATTCAAAAGGCCCAGTACAGTGCCGTTTATTACACTAAGCAACAGGATTTTGGCCAAAATTATAGAGATGGTTACATACAGAAATGCAGGGGGACTCAATTTGAAGTGCAGGGAGAGAATTATAAGACCTGGTGAAGGTGGGTGAAGGCTATTTGAAGGATTGTATCTTCGCATATAATTCTTCTCATCTTCTGAGATCTTAAGGAGAGCACCTTCTTTAATTCCTACCACCCTCACAGGCCTGTTTGGGGAAGACACAGGACAGGGCATTTTTGCTGCTCAGGCTATTATGGAAAGTTAATCTGGCTCACTCGCTAATGTCCTCGTGCCAACAGGCAAAAGCCTTCCTCTTAAAGCAGATTTCTGGAAATTAAATGTGCTTACAAGAAATAAGTTTTAGGGGAATGTGTAGTGCATACACTTTACTGTTTTAGCTGTGTTTTTAAACTGGCTTTAAACTGTTTTTACTGAATGCTTTTCATTACTGGTTTGTTTAACTGTATTTTAATATTTCAATTTATTGAATTTCTTATTATTTGCAGCTCTTCATTTATAATCTGCCTTGAGTCCATTTATGTGAAGAGAGTAGGATAGAAATATAGTAAACAAACAAAGAGGACCAAATGCAATATGTGTTTTCTCTCTTTTTTGAAAAAAAGGTAAATTAAACTATTGCCAAAAAGCCGTATCATACAATATTTGTCCATCATGTAACAGTCTACAGTGGGGTCTTGACTTAAGAACGGCTTGAGTTAAGAACATTTTGACTTAAGAACCACTCTCATAGGAAAATACTGACTTGACTTACATACTTAGATTTGAGTTAAGAACTGAAAAAAACCACGTGAGAGGCAGGGAAAGTGCAAAATTTGAACTTTCAGTTAACTGTTGGCCAGTGAAAAGGGTGCCTGTCTGCTTCCTCACTCCTCCCAGCGTTTAGAGAGTGGATTTTTTTGAAAAAAAGGTAAATTAAACTATTGACAAAAAGCTGCATCATACAATATTGTCCATCATGTAACAGTCACTGTTGGCCAGTGAAAAGGGTGCCTGTCTGCTTCCTCACTCCTCCCAGCGTTTAGAGAGTGGATTGGGAGTCTTCAGACTGCCTGGTACTGCCTGGACTGTATTTTCCCTGCCTTCCCTGAACCTTTCTTGACCTAAGAAAAAAAGAAACAAAATATCCCCCTCTAGTGGTCGAAGGCAGAATAGCAGCTTCCCATTAGTTTCTATGGACGGAAAAGAGCAGATACGGATCAAATGGTTTTCAATGCATTCCTATGGGAAATGCAGATTTGACCTGAGAACTTTTTGACTTGAGAACCGCCTTCCAATACGGATTAAGTTCTCAAGTCAAGACCCCACTGTATTTCCAAAACTGATGTTCCTGAAGCTTTCCTACAACTGGATAATACAGTACAAATGCTAATGTCTTTGCTGTTAATTGTGAAAGTCAGATACGCATTTTAGTGGGGTTTTTTTTTAACAGCCACTAGATGGCAAAGGATTATTATTGCTACAGTATGATTTGAGGCATTTGCCTCACAAGAAAAATTACTGAGACATAAAATTAAAATTTATATACCTTTTAAAAATTAGAAATAGAGTACCGAAACTTGAAAAACAAATTACAGTGATATTGTATGTAAACCCAGCTCCCTACATAAAAACGCAAAGCAATCACTATCATCTTGTTTAGTTTAGGGGAAGAAGGCGGAATAGCAGCTTCCCATTAGTTTCTATGGACGGAAAAGAGCAGATACGGATCAAATGGTTTTCAATGCATTCCTATGGGAAATGCAGATTTGACCTGAGAACTTTTTGACTTGAGAACCGCCTTCCAATACGGATTAAGTTCTCAAGTCAAGACCCCACTGTATTTCCAAAACTGATGTTCCTGAAGCTTTCCTACAACTGGATAATACAGTACAAATGCTAATGTCTTTGCTGTTAATTGTGAAAGTCAGATACGCATTTTTAGTGGGGGTTTTTTTGTTAACAGCCACTAGATGGCAAAGGATTATTATTGCTACAGTATGATTTGAGGCATTTGCCTCACAAGAAAAATTACTGAGACATAAAATTAAAATTTATATACCTTTTAAAAATTAGAAATAGAGTACCGAAACTTGAAAAACAAATTACAGTGATATTGTATGTAAACCCAGCTCCCTACATAAAAACGCAAAGCAATCACTATCATCTTGTTTAGTTTAGGGGAAAGAAGCATGTTCTGATTTTTCACTTAACCTAACCAGTACTTAACTAGCTTTGCCTGCCTTCAAATTTCTCACTGACATAAACAACACTGGAACTTGAAGAGGAGTCTATTACAACCTGAAAGTACCTGTAATTTAACCATTTTTAAATTGCACGATGGAGAAAGTGATACTGACAGCTTTCATTAAGAAACAAAAAAGTGGCTGCACTATCTCTGCAGGGTATGTTTATTCATGTGTCTGTATGACAGCTATGCATTACCTGATCCTTGTTTGAAGGCAGGAGCTGATGGAGGAGGAGGTTTCTTAGGTCTCTAAAATAGAAATGAAGTAAACACACAATTACTAACAAGAATCTAAACCAGACAGAAAAATCTTTTATTCTTACAATTCAGAAAGGGGGAAAATCAGTTTATAAAGCCTTTCCATCAATACAGCAGGAAAAAAATGAATAAAATATAGATAAAGGAAAACAATTTTATCTAATTTTACTATGGGTGTGTTAGTCTCTAAAAATATAGCACCTGTATACTACAGCAGAGGTGGGCTGTAGTATGCATGGATCTATCTCCTTTTTTATTGGAAACCCCAAATACACCAACTATCTTTCAAAATTCTTCAAAAACTAGATTAAAGAATCATTATATAATAAATGACATGTCTTTCAACTGAGCAATAGATTAAGGATCAGGCATTTTTCTATGTATGGGAGAGAAAGATAAATGCTTCTTTTAAGATAGTTACTGTTGTAAGTACTGTTTGTGAGTTCTTTTATAGTTCAATGGTTTTATCTAGTTCAATGTTCAGTTCAAAGAAGATTAATCTGACTGACAATGGAGCCCAATTTAACCATTTAGTCTTGTTTTGAATGGGAGGCAGTTTTCTTCTAAACAGGATTCTGAATTAACGTGATATGGTTTTTAAAAAGCAGTTAAAAAAATCTTGGCATGTTGTAAAAAACTATAGACCAGGGATAGGCAACTACAGCTCTCTAGACATATGAAGGGCCATAGCTGCCCTGCCACAGACCTTTCATAATTTGACATCTTTCCTTCCCACCTCAAATCCATGCACAAGCACAGACATGCTATGTGTGTGTGAAATACCCTGTAATATAAGATAATGCCGTATGGTTCTACGAAAATTCCACCTTAACACAAGGAGATCGTCATAGGAAAAGAGATAAATACAATTAAATAATTTTTCAAACATGGACTACTGTACGGTGGACCCTCTACTTAAGGAATTAATCTGTATTGGAACAGTGGCTGCAAGTCGAATCTAAATTTTGCAGCCAGAGAAGTCTGTAACTCGAAAAGTCTGTAAGTCGAGCCGTCTGTAAGTCGAGGGTCCACTGTATTACACCAAGGAAGCATCTGTAAACAGCTGTTCTCCTGCAACTGCAATACCTGATTGGACCTTCACTCTGTATTTTGTTGGTGATAAGGCCAGAAACATGGCTGTGTAGCCCCTTTTAATACATTTTGCACCTTCTCATTAGTAACAAGTAACACAATAGCCTTTTATATCTGCAGAAGAAATGTATCTTTTTATCTGCAGAACAAATGTGGCACAGTTTCTTGCTTATTGCATTTTATTTTGCTTCCATATATAAAAAGCATGGGAGGAGTGGGAACAGTGGGAACAGCACATGAAATAAAAATATTGATTATGCAACAGTAGTACTTTGGTGTGTCATTTCGGTTTCGCTGCCATTGAAATATGTTGCTAAGCTTTGTGCTTATGAACAGTTGCTCGCTTATGACATAGATAGTTGGATCTGTGGTTTGACTCAGGATAGGGCCCTTTCTTAAGGATTAATAAATATTGGATATTCATATCCAGACCTTTCTTCTTATGAGGCAAAACTGTCTTACAAAACCTGGTCATTCACCACAATCTTGCACAGGCTGGTTCTACACGCATGCAATATTTTATACTATTGTATAAAATACCTGCGCAGTACAATACTGAGATACAGAAATGTGCCACTATGACCAAACTTTTGGTCTTAAAATTACTTTTGTGAAATTTTGAAAAAAAACCGTTCTTTGGCCCATTTTATTGTACGTTTAAAACAAAAGGCAAAAGTTTCAACTCAGCTTTCAGGTCCACACAAATAGGTCCACTGAAATTAATTCGACTTGTTTGTCAACATTCATCTAAGTCCCACTGACTTCAATGGGCCTGTTCCAGGAGAGACTAAGTGCAGGGACTTCTAAAAGATTTATGCTGAAATGTTAGGCTTTAAATTAATAAAGAGTCATTTGTCCATACCTCTTTTTCAAAATCAGAAAGAAGCAGTTTAACAAAGTTATCAGGAAATACTCCTCTTCTACCATTGAGCTCTCCTTCCCACCAGCCAGCGTCAATGCATTCCTAAAGCACACATCAAGGTGGAAGAGAAATAATGAGCATATCTTGCAAGGCGCTTCTTTTTCATACATAAGGATTCTTCTCAGTGAACTTTGTGGGCAAATGGGATCTGTGCCACAATAATGTTCCCAAAGAGCTCAAGATATGTATATTTTAGCCTTCTCGGTGATTTCCCTATAGTCACAGTTCTCTCTCGCTCTCTCTCTCTCTCTCTCTCTCTCTCACACACACACACACACACATTACTAAGTTTTCAGCTTTCTGAGTCTGCTTTCCCAATAGTAAACTCTTCTAAACAACTGTAAACACCATCTATATTCTCTGTAAATAAATTCAAACAAACACATTATATGGTGGATTAATAGGGTAAAACAGATTTAGGGCTACTAGAATGTGGTTTCTGGTTGCATGAATATGCTTCCTAGTTACGAAGAGGTTGCAAGGTTTTTGTGCAACAAATTATGGAAAAAGTGATGACAGTAATAGAGAATCTTGAGTGTTACATATATGTGACACACTGGAGCAATGAACTCATTGATACCCACACCATTCTGACAAAATACACTATTTCAATTCTCTTATTTTTCTGGTTTTCCAAACAATTTCTGCTGAAAGGCACACATTTTTGCAACACCAAACTAAGGAGGAGATTGAAGTGCATGAATTCATCTCTCCTTCTTATTCACAAAAGTCACTCATCTCTTGGAATGGATTCAAGTGAAGATATCCAGAAAATAAGGCAGGGTTCTCTCATGTAGAAAAGAGGCAGAGGTAGGATATCAATTCCACACAAAAAACATCAGAAACAGAAATCTGTACATCTGTTCTCATGCCTGTTTTTCACACAGAAATGCAGACCCTACTGTAAAGAATCCAAGATAAAAACCAGCTCTCACTGGAAGTTGTCACAGGACAAACCAATCTGCATGCCACTACATCAATGTGATCAGGGTGCAACATTAGTGATGGCTATTGCCATTGCCTTACATATTTCAGAATGAGCCATACATTCATTTGTAACCATCCTAGGATGTTGTTAGCTGATAGAGAAGGATGTGGAAAAAATTTAAGCACCTCTAACTAAGTGACTTCAGTCTCTCCTAAAAAATCCCTGAGCCTAGAAGTTGAGGATAAGGCTGCTAGTCTCTACATTATGATTTCTGGGAAAGAGGCAAGGAAGTTGTTCATCTAGAAAAGGGTTGGGGCCCTCAGCATCTAAAGATTTTAATCCCCGGAACAGTACATGATAACAAGACAAAAGAGACTAATATAACATGACCTTGCAGTATAACCATGACTTTCTTTGTAATGATAATTTAATCCACAATAGCTTCTCAGGTTTTATGAACAAGCTTTCAAAAGGCAACAAGAAGTAGAACAGACCTTGTATGCAGGACGTTACTACATTAGGAACTGAGTAGCAAAAATAGGATTTCTCAAAATTCTTATGGAGCGAAAAATACGGTATACTGTGCAATGCATTGGCACATACTAGCCATTTTTGTGACCAAGGTGCCCATCAGACCTTCTCCAAGCTCAGCAGAAGCTGTTCATTAGTCAGGAGATTCCCACACAATCAGTGATATATAATAGCCAATCACACAGATCAAATGTGTTTTGTCTTTCTCATGGAAATCAGCACCCCACTACCTTGCTAACACAGACATCACTCCGGTAGTCCCTCTTGTGTGGAAACAATTCCAACGCCACAGTTTTGTGAATGTTTAAAGGGAGACTTTTAATGGACACCTTCTGGGAGTCAAACCTCCCTCCAAAAGGTTCTGCTATGTACTCTGAACAGATTACTGTTATCCTTTAGCAAATATGACAGGTGCTTTCTTTCTCTCTTTGGGTCACAAGTACCACAGTACAATTTATAAATACATCAGATAATTTTCACTCAATAATGGGCAACACCAGGGGCTGTAGACTGATCTTTGACTTCACCAGTACCATTCATGTGCTGAAGTGTGAACAAGTAATGAGGTGTGAAAACTAAGATGAGAAAGCCTATTATGTAACCTGACCACACATTTCCTCAAGTCTTTGTGGTTTAACGTCCCAAGTACAGTATACAGTGGGGTCTCTACTTAAGAACGTCCCTACTTAAGAACAATCCAACTTAAGAACAGCTCCATTTGCTAAATTTTGCTTCTACTTGAGAACAGAAATCCAAGATAAGAACAGGAAAAAAAACCCTTTCCTGATCTTTTTTTAACTTTAGGTCATCTTAGGTTAAAAAAAATTCTCCCCCTAGTGGTAGAGTACGTATTAACCAGCTTTGCATTAGTTCCTATGGGAACTAATGCTTCAATGTACGAACGCACCTCTACATAACACAAAAACAGCCAGAATGGATTAATTGGTTTTCAGTCCATTCCTATAGGAAATTTTGCTTCAACTTAAGAACATTGCAACTTAAGAACACCATTCCAAAACCGATTAAGTTCTTAAGTAGAGGTTCCACTGTACAAAAGTGACAGCCATACTGCAGATGTATATATGACGCAAACTTTTGGTACAATGGTGTTACACTGCCTGTTGGAGGACTGTCCCAATATGGTTGTTGATCCATTCCATTTTAAATGTTTATGTGTTGTCACCATAAATCTAGATCTCATTTTACGCATCAGTGCCCAGTTCAGATACATTGCTAAACCGAATTTTATGAGAGAGATGAGCCATCTGTGGACTATCAACGCCTGTAGCCTAGCTAACCTACCATAGTGATGATCAATGATGGGGACCACAATACATATGATAGGTTACAAGTTGTCCACCTGTTTTATAAAAATGAACTTGCTTCAGTGTTGCGGGCAAATACTCTGTGGCCACTGGGAGACCAGAAATATTCACTTTCTAGTTAACAGCACAAAACATGGCTTGACCATGACTTGTTTCAACAAGTTGAGGTTTTAATTAACTACAGTTTCACCAGGTTTGAATATTAACCTCTTCTTAAATTTAAACCAGGAAATGATTTTTTTAATAACGCCCATTTTAGAGGAGAAAAGGAAATGCTGCTGTCTGTAATTACAAGAGGTTTGGTTCCCACACTGCTGAACAATTCAGCATTGTGCTTGAGCTAGATCTGAAACATGCACTTCTGCACAAATCAAAACTTTGTTTCAGCCGCAGAAGTCTCAAGTTTCATGACAGAAAATATATAATGTCCTAATTTCTTCTTTGTATATTGATTGATATATTGACACTATTGCATATTGTTCCATATTTAAAGAAGAACAAATCTAGTATATATTGTTCTCAGTTCAAAGCAATAACTAGCATGTTGGGCTAGTTATTGTGCACCCATCTGCTCTCATTTGTTCTTATCATTCTGTGGAAGTGGCTTCACTTTGCAACAAGATGCCGGGTATTTTGTTTGTTTTTGCTGAGCTGCAGTCATCATTTGGAAATGTATTCCTTTATTTTTTTTCTGAGCCAGATGCTTCTGAGCACTGCAAGAGCAAGATCTAGCTAAGACTCAAAGCCTTCTAATTTAGGCCTTTCTCCAGGTGTATCGTATTGAAGTGTCGGAAAGGCGCCTGCAAGGTTGATAAAATTACGAGAATAGAAAATTAAGGTATTTATAGTGCAGAAAATCTGAACGCCCTCCTCATTAGAAAGGATTTACTAACACAAGACGCAGTGTTCACTACCAACACAGGCATTTTTAAAGGAGGACTATAAAAATTCATTAGAGGCTATCAGTGGACATCAGCCATGATGACTCCAGGATTAGAAAAAGCATGCTTCTCAGAACTATTTCCTGGGTACATGAGCCCAAGAGCAGTGCTGCTGCTTTCATGTCCTGCTTATCTGGCTCCCATGGGTATCAAGTTGGCCAGTACAGAAACAGAATGCTTTTATCTGATCCAGTATAGCTGTTTCTTATGTTCTTACACTGACCTTTTTATGACACTCAAATTCTGCTGTCTGGGGTGGCTGCTACAGTTTGCCTAGTGGCAGAGTTGGCTCTGGATCAAGCACAGTTCTTCTTGTGGCATCACCACATCCTACATTTTCCTGCTCACCCGCATTCCATGTCAAAATATATTCCTGATAGGTGCAAGGAACTGAATGATGTGCCATGCTCTGCAAGTTAGAGTTATAGGGAAAAGCTTGAAATAGGAATGCTATTTTGTACAATTAGCCATGCCCAAGGCTAAGGCAATGGAAAATCGAAAGCAATGCAGTGCTACCTTGAGTGATTTCTGTACTCAACAGCCAGTGTAATAGCCATAAATGTGCATGGCAGCATGAGGTAGTATAAGAAAGAGTGGCATGGCAACCATGCCATGACAACCATGAGGAACATGAGGAAATAGATAACTTTAATTATCTTATAGTTCAAGAAAATTCTATTTTGAGAGAACAACTGAAAATAAGTTTGTTATGTTGCATGAACAAAGGGATGGCCTTGACTACAGCTTGGAACCTACACGTGGTCCACAATATGAAAACAAGCTGTTAACAAAAGCACAAAGCTACCTCATTGAAACAGTTGTACTGGCTTCCTATTTCTTTCCAGGAATAATTAAAAATGATAGTGATGACTTTCAGGACACATGGCTTGGAACAAAAGGACTGCTTTCTCTTGCTGGAGCCTGCCCACCCACTAATATCTCAAAACATTCCTGTGTTTCTCAACTCTCCCTGTAATACAAATAAGGAGGATTCGAAAGATGGACGCTGCATTTATGTTTGAGAATTGTTTTCAAAGGGAAGCCCGTCTTCCCTTTTCTCTAATCACCTTCTGCAAGATGGGTTACCTTTCTTTTGGAAGAGCAGTCTTATTCAAAATTGTTTCTGGTTTCTGAATAGTTGTTGACCTGTTGTCATCACCCCCCCACACATTATTTACTGTAATATAGTAAGATTTTTTTAAAAAAAAACAGTTAATTAACATTTCTATCTCTCCTGTTTTAAGATCTCTAGAAGAAGGGCAGGGACTAAATGTTTCAAGTAATTAAATAAATAATTCAAGCCGTTATATTACTTAT